CCGTATTGTACCGCAAATTATTATTATTGCAGGTACTACGAAACCGGGTCGATCAGGCCCAGAGCCATCGGTGGCAGCAAGCCCCGCGTCGCCACCGCCGAGGTCGTGAGCAAGATTTCCCTCTACAAGAGCGAGTGCCCTTCCATCTTCGCGTGGGAGATCAGAGACCGCTTGCTCCAAGAAGGCGTATGCACGAACGACAACATTCCCAGTGTGAGTACCTTTTCTCAACTTCTCGATACTCCGATGCTAAAATTTTCTAAAAAAATCGAAAACCCTTTTGAAAACGGGGTGATTTCCCAAAAACCGATCCATTGCAATCGTTCGAAAGGAAATCGGTGGAAAAAAACGTTGGAATCGAATTGAACCGAGTCTTTCTTCGAGAAGAATTTCGAAGCAACGAGTAAAAAAATATAGGGATCGCGGAAAGTAAATTTGTTAAAAAAAAAGAAAAAAAATTCCACGACTGGTTCGAAAGAATTGGAAGGATCGCTGTTAAACGGAACATTAAACGAAACAGGCGCAAAAAAGGGGGGGGGTCACGGGGGTTCAATGATGCTTTCCACGGTAACAAGGGCGACGGTTTATAAAGCGTGTCGCGAGAAACACGCGCGTAATGGAGGCCGAGTTTCGCAGGGTGGAGGTCGTCGTGAGCGCGCATGCGTATCGCGATGAACGCTGCTGTCGTGCTTTCGGGTGCACAACGCACGAGAGAGAGAGAGAGAGAGAGAGAGTGACATTTGCATAGATCCACGGAGGAGGGGTGCGTGTGGATGGAAATCAGTTTTCTCTTGCGAGGCGGGCGTGTTTATGCGAGCCGTGTGTATAAACGGAAACGACGCGAAATTTCATCGTTGTCGGCCCATTTGAAACTACGATCGCGAGAGAAATGGACGAGATTCGATGACTCGTGACGGCTTCTAAAGCTTGCTTACCTTCTCTCTCTCTATTTCTCTTTGTCATCCCACGCTCAAAAAATTACGTGCGAAATAATTAAATTACACGGCTCGCGTGAAACCCCGTATAAATTTTCTATCTTTTGTATTCGTGTGACTGTGTTCCGTGAACTTTTAAATAATCGATATTTCAAATGTTGGAGCAGTAGATCTTTGAATTTACGT